AACTTTACTCCCATTTTTTTTCTGTTTAGAATTTTTTGTTTTTTTTTGGATGCTATTAGCATTGAATTCTTTCATTTACTATTTCTATTGTTTGGTACAAGCACGACGATAGCGAACAGAACGATGATGGAACACGATAAATTTTCTACCAACACAAAAACTCTGTTGAGGTCTTTAGCGTATGAAGAAAATCGCGTTTGTCACGCTTTTCTGTAGTTTTCGTACCTAAATGTGACTCCAAATTATACTCTATAGCATGAACTAGACGTTCAGTGTATAACTATGTACAGATACATGCCTTTGTTAGCTTTCTATTTCATTCGTTTCAATTGTTGTGTTATTGTCAACAAATTTGTATACACATTCTGTCTGAATTTTTTCATGTAGGGAAAAAATATACGCTATTGAGGTTGTGAGTGTTTGAAAAATTATCTAGAGATAAATCAACATCTTGAACTTTTTTATTTATAAAATGAAAGTATTTTCAGCTTTGAGAATTACCAGGCTCTTAACAATTCTTCGTGCCTAGTGTAATCAATTGTTAGATCTCGTCCAATGCAAAAAATAGATCTCATAATCGGTCAAAATGAGTGGAAAAATATTTAAAAGTGCAAATTTTTTCTTGTAACTAATACTGAACCAAGTCCAAAAAACTTGTTTTGTATTCCATGAATTCTAATCAGAGTTGCATATCGAGCAAAGAGAACTGATCATGACTGATATAAACAATAGACAACGCACTAAAAGCATCAGCCCTAGTTGAATTCCATCGATTCATAAAATGCTCACTTTTGGCCCGTTTGCCGTAATCTTCTATCATTTAGAAAGATCTCGTGATGAAAAGGAGTCGACAGTCTATCGTCGAGCTAACTTGTCCGATTGTGTATTTTTCCAGCATCCATATCAACAAGTCAAAACAGAGCACATGCCAAGCACTTCAACAATGTTCTCTTTATTATTCACATTAACGAGAAATGGGATAACCATAATGTCTCATTTTATTCTCAATATAATGAAAAAGAGTTTCTACTTCACGAAAATACTAACTTTTTCGTTCAATCATGTGAGTTTGACAAAAGCAAGAAGAAATTTTTTCTATTTTATAAAACCTACCGGCAAGACTAATATAACCTTTCAGTTTTCACATTAGGAGGCTTGTGAAATTTTGAAGAAAGGCAACAACACTTTTTCTAACCAAAAACAAAGTGACTTTTGTACTTTTGCATTTCTACTCGTACTTTAACAGATTATGTCTTGTAAAGCACATTGGTATCTGTAAGGTCAAAGTGAATTACGATGAGTTTTCTTTTTCGATGGGACATGGGTTTTACACTCCTAATATAACCAAAAGGCAAATTTGAACCGGTGATATATAGATTCTAAGACTGTTAGGTAGCGATCATTTTTCCTAGTTATGTTTAATTTCGTCTCTATGCATAAACAATTAAATCTTTTATTTATATCACATAATATACTAAATAGTCATAGTCAGAAGCGTAGTATATTATCAGTCTCCTTGGTATGAACAGGCAAGAAGATCGCAACTAACAACAGTGACTAATTAAAAATTGAAAGACGAGAAGAGCCGCCAACGATTGTCGGTGGAAGATCCTGAAAAAACTCATTTCACAATCAGAAAGTATTATGCGAATTCGATACTGCTCCTCATCAATATCTCATCGATTTTTATTTATAAAATTATATTTAAGAAGAAAAAACGAGAAGAAAAAAAAAAGATTGAAAGTTTACAGCCAAGTGATTCGATCTTGAACATCGGTCCATGGAAGTTGAATTTCACTCGATCTTTCAAGATCATCTTTGCTATTATTTGGATTGTATTTTTCTCGAAGGCGAAAGAATGCATCAACGAATGTAACAAAATCGAGTGTATCGAGACGTTTACCGTCTAGTACTTGATGATACTTTGTCAATATTCGTACATATTCATGTCGATAGAAATATTTCAAATGTTGAGCATAAATCAGAAGAGCTGTACCTGTATGAAATTGATCAATAAAAAGTGAAATTAAATCAGGATGAATATGATTTTCCTCGAACCATTGACGAACTTCTTTCGATGTCCAATCTTTCAATGATAATACGTCACTTTTCGTATCATTGATAGGTTTTGGAATAGTTTCGTTGGTAACAAGTGGTTGAGAAATTATAACGGATGTCTGTGTTGATTTTTGATAATCGATTATCATTGATATCAATTCTTCGGTGGCAACAACAAAGAGTTTACGTCCGAAATGAATATATCTTTGACCGGCTATTCGAATACCAAGCCAACCATTTGCTCGATATTGCTGATTGGGAACATAAACTGGAATGATTCGTTTTTTGAGTGTATCACTGGCATAACAAAGTTCTTGTCGACAGGATTTTGATTCATAATATTCTTTTGATACAATAACAATGATAACAGTGGCCATTTCCATTGCATAAGCAATTTCTTCCCAAAGATCATCAGAATGATTAACAGTATTGTCTGCTTGTTTGTAATCAACCCAGATTGGTACATGAACTGATAGACATTCGACTAGTTCTCGACAAAAACTAGCATCACTATGTGAATAACTAATCATGATCAATGGTGGGCGTTGTTCAGTCGATGAAACATTACCTGACGATCGAGAATGAATAGACAATGTTTTTAAATTCCACAATATTCCTTGAACTGATTTTTTTACGGAATATAAATCGTATGGAATCAATTTACTTTGTAATATATCATATGTTGATGATGATTGTGCTAAATTTGAGAGTGTATTCATGAGCATAGTATTCATTTTGAAATATTCATGATAACGTTCTTGAAATGAAATACTCCATAGAATATTGCTCACTGCAAGAATAGTTTCACTGTCACGTTCAGCATCGAGCGGTTGTTGAGTTTTAATTTGAGCAGAAAAATGAGAGAATAATTGAGTAAAACATTGAAATAGACGATCATTTTGTGCTAGACAAATAGTCAAAATATCATCATTAACAAACAATTTACTGAGTACTATCAATGGTTCTGATATATGAAAACAATCGTATAAAAATCCAATAGAATGTGATCCTTCAATAATCATTCGGACAAGTTGATCGAGTATTTGACTCATCAATTCGTTATTTGATATTGTCTGTTGTTTGATTTCATCGGAGCTCATAAGAAGGGCATCAATCATGTAGGAAATTAATTGAAGTTGAAAGTATTCATGTTCATTATAGATGTTCTGCATTTTTGTTTGATTATCATAAAGTATTTTGTGACAATTCAATTCGTTCAATATTTGAACACCAATAGTATGTCGAGCAAGTTTTTGAAGAGTGACAAGAAGAATATAATGAACATGATAAGTTGATTTCGATGTATTTATTTCATTAATATTAGATAAATAACGTAAACAAGCATTAGGCCATTTGTGTTGAATGATCATTAGTACAAGTGAGGGTGATTTCGAAAATACTTTAATCAAACCAATAGTATAACGCATGACCAATTCTCGATCTGGATTTTGCCAATAAGATTCAATGAAATCGAGCAAAGAAGGAAGAAAATTCGAAGGAATATCTGTTTCAACCATTCGTACGAAAATACTTGCGACGGAAATAATAGGTATAATACAAGTAATGATATTATCATATTTACCAGTACTTTCAAAATAAGAGATTTTGAGTAGAGAGAAATAATTGTAAAAAACTTTTTGTTGTTGAGAATGATCTTTCATTGATCTAACAGCACCGCAGAGAAATTGTCGTTGTTGAAAGAATTGATTTAGTTTTTTTAAGAAAAAATTTGTTTGTTGAACACTAATATCATTAAATAATTTCATTTCAAACAGAGGAATCAATTGATGAAGATGATCGATCAATATCCAAGCCAATTGATCGCCTTCGAGCACATTAGCAGAGATCATATGCTCTAATTGTGTAGTCAAATGTTCGATTGAATAACAATAGGCACTTTCTGATTGTGAACTGGACAAAGATTTGAGTTCGTCGATTAGACCATAAGCAGTCATGGTATATTCAATATGAGTAATATTGTCACTCATTTTTGCTGAAGGGAAGAATGAAAATAACGTGTTGTTTTGATCGTTTCTTCTTATGTTTGTTTTTATTTGCGCTTGTCTACTTGATTATATATCGAATAGTGTAAGCGTTGGCGTCTCATGATGTATGTTTGAAACGATACAATCTATCATGCGTATGAAAGTGACGATCATTATAGATAAGAAAAGAAAAAAATATTTACATTTCAAACAAATATTTTGCTCAATTACTAGAAAACACTTTTTGAAAAGAAAACTTCAGATGACATCATTTCGCAATATCAATGCATGTGGATTTTTTTTTTACTGGAAAAAAATTGAATAAAAATACTTCAATGAACAAATGACCTATCTATTCCAAACAAAATTGAAACTCTTTTCAGCAACAAAAGAAAAAGGATAGTTCGAACTGTTGCATAGTTCGAGAGATTTTATCTGTTGTTTTCTCATTTTGATGTAATTGATTACAGAAAATAGATCAATTATTGTCCTACAATAGTTCAATTATTTGTTGATGATTGACATTCAATTGTTCATTCTAAATGAATATTTTATCGAAATATCATTGAAAATCGAGACGATGTATTACTTTGTATTGCCAAGTAATTTTGATTGTTCAATTTAGTTGAGAGAATGATTCGTTTAATGTAAATCGATTCAAATGGTCTTCTTCAAAATCTCGCCATCTTTTAATCATCAAATCGAAGATAAGTTCACAGGAACATAGATCTTGTCATTTATCGTTTGAATAACGTCAATATTTCCATATACTCGATTGAAATATGTTTTCTTATTGTTCTTGATATTCGACATCTTGCACGAGTAATTATCTACAAAAATCAAATTTCTGATTTCAAATCAAGGTAATTTGATTTGTTCTTTTTTTTCTATCAGAAGATCGTGTTCGAATGACGGTAATAACAGATAACATCAGGAATTTTTGTTGTCGCTTATCGAACTTGCATATTGTGGCAATCAGCTAAATTCAACAGTTGATCATGTTCATCTGATTCGTTATTCATGAGTAAAGTCGCTAGTCTGATGTCGGTATTAAAATTAACAAGATGTTGACTAAATTCAGTATGAACTTCCATAAATTGAACAAGATAATCTTTGTTATTCCACAAACATTTCCGAAGGAAGATAACGAAAAATTTCAATGCACACTTCATTGATTTACTTAATGCATCATTGAACTTTTGTTCTTGTACAATTTTGTCATTACCGTATAAGATCTATCACACTACTCGAGTATATGTTTATATTTCTTGATGAAAAATAAGAACTGACTATTATTGGTATAGTTCGTGTTGGTACGATTTCGTTTTGCCTCGTTTCTTTGAGACGTAAGAAACTTATTTTTTGAAAATAGCGTCTGTCAGACTATCCATTCTTTTATCTTTATCCACGCTGGCGATTGTTTCTGTTGTAGATTAGACCTTGGGGCATCACAAACAAGATAGGTGGAATGCAAGCCAAAGTTCGTCGTCTTGGCAGTGCATGATAAGCATAACCAATCATCTGTCCTTTCCATGTAAACACTGATATTTTACTATAAATTCGGATTGCCTGCCTCTAGGGTTTGACCATCCTTCGAGTATCCATATTTGAAACATACGAATCGAGCAACGAAATTCAGTTCCAAACATTCTTGACATACACAATCACCAGGTTTCGTCGTGATCGGTTTGATTCTTCGTTCGTTCTTATCTCAATTACAATTGCATCAGACAAGACAACCTTTCAAATTAATGTCTTCGAAGCGTAAGCATTCTCAATCACCTGTTCGTCTAAATACGAAAGAATCTTAAAGAGGAAAACGACATGAAGTTAAACTTATAGATTAAATAGAATAATAGACGTCATTGAGTTCTATTTTTTGTCTTTTCATAATACTAACAAGTAATTCGTTCTTGTGTCGAATCGATTGCGAGCAATAAAGCAAACAAAATATATAGTAATAAAACCGAGTCATCATGAGTCAATTAATTATCTACGCAGAAAAAGCGCAAAGAGAGAAGACAAGCAGAAAAGGCAATGATGTATGACGTCAACGAATATTTTATATAATTATACACAAGATGAAAAGAAAAGTATAAAACATTTGTCGCTAAAACTGATTTATGATTCTATTAAAATCTAACATTTTTTTTTCTTAAGGTGTCTGCTTCGATGAAAAATTAAATTGTATCTATGTTACATTTTGACGAGGGAACGAAAAAGCAATTCGTGAATATACTATTTTCATTAAATAATCGTCAATAACATCGTTCAACAAAAAAAAAACGAGTATTTGATGGTGTTGCTAGACATTTTCATGATATTCTCAGTTCTCCTTATCACATCTAGACCATTTTCTTCGTGCATTCTTATTGAATCTATTTTAACCGATTTTAACTGATCCAGCCAATGTATACAAGCAGAAAGTATACAAAGAGCTCAGAAAATAGTTCAAGCTCAAAAAACATTTTCTGCTTTTTGAATCTTGATAAGTGGCAGTTCTGACTAGATTCATGATTATGAGATTGTTTGGACTGGAGCTGTCACTGGTTGCTTCTACAAGTTCTTTTTACAAGCAGATCTTCAAATGTGAAACTATAAAAATGCATTTTTCATACTGATCAGTCATGTAGTGAATCTTCCTTCGATGCTCGGAAGAATGAGAGTAAAAGTCTGACAACTGCGTAGAATTCAAGAGCATATCACTATAGTCAAACCCAAGGGGGAATCTGCGGATTCCTGGAATTCCGAATCTCATGGGAATCCTGTGGAAATTCCAAGAATACTTGAACTAGATGTCTGAACAACACTGAAATTATAACTCATGCTCAAGTACACCAAGTATCAATTCATTCACTTAATATTTTGAAACCCATTCCTTTAAAAGAACCATGTAGAAGTATGGGAGATAAAGGTGTGGGTATGAATGTTTCGTAAGGATGGGAAGAAAACGCAGATGCACACCCTCATAAATATCGTTAACTGAACATTCTGGGCTATAGAAGCGACTGCTTTCTAACGAAATAATGTGAGCCAAATCGTGACATCTAGTATGATTATTTATACAGTTCATATAGATGAGAAATTTCAAACACTCTGCATAATGATGCTTATATTGATTCATAGAAGGGAGATCGGACTACAACTTTAAATTCCGCATAAAATATGTAGATATAATTGAATTAAGGGACTAGCTCCGTAGCCGAACTTGCGGTCTTTTCAGTTTATCCAATATTAGTAAGTCGTAGTTTCGCAGTCAAGATTATTCTTTCTACACTGATCAATAATGATCTACCCATTAATAGTAATACAAAAACCAAACATAAGTAAATAATCTATCGACTTTTTACTAAATGATAGGGACTATATACTAACCGATTAGTTTATATTAGTTCACCGTCCGCCTTACTTAATAAAACGGACATGATTAATGAGAAAACATAACAGGTTAGTTCTAATTGATGTTACTCTGGTTATTTGCTGCTCTTTCATGGACAAAGGAAAATGAAACAGAAGAGCTTCTTGTGTCTCTAGTATTGATGCATATCTGATAAGAAAGTTTATCTAGACTTAGTGATTAGTGGGTTAATTTTTTTCTGAGGAAGAATAATTATTACTCGCGTTTCACAATTCAAGGAAAACCTGGAGGCACCAATTGAGTCTTCGAAAAAGAAAGGCAGACCGCTAGAAAAAACCAAGAATAGAAGTGCAGAATACAATAAGGATCTTGAATATTTGAGAAAAGATCAGGCAATCCAGTACGTGTGAAATCTGTTTTGTTTTCCATTCAAATCCAGTGAGTTGAACTTTCCATTAAAGTTTTCAAAAATGTCACAAAAGACAAGAAAAAGACGGCTTCGAAGCAATCAGTTTCAAAACTATCTCTTGATCTTCTCTGTTATGATAATTTTAAAAAGACTATTTATCAAGTTTATTATCTAGTCTATAATCTTCTTTCCAGATTTGATGTTAATGTTGCATGGAAGACAACAAGATAAATCATTTGTACGAGTCTAGTGTGAAAAAAAATCTGCATTGTCTAATCTGACGAAAATAATTACAACTCATTGGATCAAGAGGCAAGCTAGTACTTCAATTCTTATGTTGCTTTTTTATCCAAATCAGAGAAATACACAGTGGATGGCCAATTGAAATCAGTAGTGTCAAACTTGAAGGTTGAATTCAAGTACTCAACTATTAGTTCAAGCATTCAACTATTCAGTTATTGAAGTATTCACATATTCAACTATTCAACTATTCAAAGATTCACGTATTCAAGTATTCAACCATTCAAGTATTCAACCATTCAAGTATTCAACTATTCAAAGATTCAAGTATTCAAGTATTCAAGTATTAAACTATTCAACTATTCAAAGATTCAAGTATTCAAAGATTCAAGTATTCAAGTATTCAACTATTCAAAGATTCAAGTATTCAACCATTCAAGTATTCAACTATTCAAATATTCAAGTATTCAACTATTCAAGTATTCCACTATTCAAGCATACAAGTATTCAAGTATTCAAGTCTTAAAGTATTCAAATATTTAACTATTCAAGTATTCCACTATTCAAGCATTCAAGTATTCAAGTCTTAAAGTATTCAAATATTCAACTATTCAAGTTTTCAATTAATCAGAGCCTGGAACGCTACAGGGTTCTCTAGAATACTGCCAGTATTACATATGATGTTAGAAGCTTCTTCTATAATGATACAAGCAGCTCCTAGGATGCTATAGATTTTGGTTAAGATGCTTCAGACATTTTCTGGAGTGCTACAAGAGCTATGTGAGAGGCTTGAGCTACTGTGCAGCAATGAGTAGGAACAATGATGTGCAAAAAGACGTGCATGGGTCGCGACGCTGAAATAGAAGGTGAGTTAGGTGGAGAAAAGCAGTTCCCTACTGAATATCAGTGGAACATTTGAGAAGTTAAAATTTGAATAGTTGAATACTTGAAGCTTGAAAACTT